AATAAAAAATAAAATTAAAATAAGTTTATAGCCAAAATAATTAAAGCCCGTACACTACATCAGATTTTAATCAGATTGGTTCTTTAAGCACATATTTTAATAATGTAAATAGTTTCAATTCATCTCGAATTAACTGTCATCTTCATAATGGCATATTGATTGTCAAACGAACAAGAAACAAAGATAATTTCCATATTCTTAATATTTGTGTGTGTGTACTAAAATCCTGAGTGTAGTGAATGTAAATGATGTGTATGAGTCATGTCATACTGAAGTTAATGGTTACGCCCTCTTCGATGACCAGGCATGATACTCCACAACATACACAATAAAGCTATAGTTCTCACCACTGTAATCTTTTAGATTACTGAAAATGTATAAATAAATGTATATATACCTAATTTAAAATTAATTAAATTTAGATATTGCCAAATCTGTTTATTTTGGGACTTAATAAAACATAATTAATAACTTGGGTGTTACGTTGACTGATACAAGTCTAATTGTTATAGATAACCAACAACACCTGGGGGCGCCTTGCTCAGATTCTCCCACGGCAATGCCCGTCTGTTTTAGACTAGACGAGGACAGTGCAATCTAACTATCACCGTGATATCACCTGTTGAACAATGATAGTGCTCTACGTTGCCAGAGCGCCACTCGAAACGAAAATGATGTCTCGGGAAGGTTTTGTTACCAGCTTTGGGTACACTCAAATGACACCAAACCATATATCAGGCCACCGTCAAAGTCCCAGTCGTTCTCGTTTATTTTGAAAAGGTTACCAAGCGTTACCTAACATTCAAATGTTTGATGTTTTATTACTTTGGTATTGATTTGAGTTCTCCATTAATGGTCGCTCAATACATCTAATATACCCCCAGTACGCCAATTACAATTATATTTACATATCGGTGGGACGGCAAAATTAATTACGAATACCACGTAACCCTTGACCGCTTCCATATAAAAGGACGGGAGTGATTTCAGTCCAGGTCGTCATCATCGTCGTCGTCGGTCGGCCATCTTATTTAGTCGTTGTTGCCCAATCACATATATCTCCTGGCATAGCCGTGAGACTGTCACGTAGCAACCAACTTATGTCAACATATTGTACTGTATCTACCTGATAGAATCCTTCACAATAAATGGCGTGTGTTACGACTACTATACAACTATATTGTGTGTCCCGAATGTTTCATTCCCCGAAAACACAAACAAGAAAAATCTAACAACTTTCTGACAGTTCTCCGCTAATGACAAAGAGTGACGTCACAATTGTGGTTTAATTATCACTACTACCAAGGCATATACCCCCTAGATGTATTTATACACAAAAAATATTACAGTCGGGCCATGAAACGTTATTAAACAATATCATTCAGTTAACACCCGTGATAAATTAACCTCGGCGCAAATGAAACAAATTGATTTGGACATCGACGATTTAATCCTAACAAGATGGAAATGTAAAGTTCATAATGATAACCGCACCAAAGCAAATGAGAAAAACAAACATAGAAATCTGAAATCAAATCTGATTTAAACTTTGAGCCACATTTAGTCAAGCTAAAAAAATTGAACTGCGTTGTGTGTTTACCGTAGTCTCAAAATTGAAATGGGTCGTCATAAAAATGTGACATGTGAAACAAAGGTCTAATTGGGGATGAAATGCATTTTCTGCTGGAATGCAGCAATTATAATGAGTTGCGTGCCAAACTGTTCAATAAAGCTAAGGATATGATCCCAGCATTTGAAAATAAACCTGCAGAGAAAAAAATCATGTTATTGTTACATAATGAAAACATTATTTTACCTGTAGCACAAATTATAAGTAAAAGCTTCGAAGTCAGGAAGCAGAAACTGTAATGTTGAACATTACACTCCAATGTCATCTTGTTGTAACCGTCTTGGCAACAGAAGAGACGGTTCACGCATCAATGAATCACGTCTGTAGGGCAGTTGTAGGGGACACACATTCAAACTTATGTTTACCAAGTTATTATTACAGATCATTCCCGGAGATGATTCCATCCTGCGTAGAACAGTCCGTCTTACAAAAATAATGTTGTTTCTACTCCCTGTAATATTGCCGTGTATGGGAATCTATTGGACTTGGATTCGTTTGTTTTTTTAATACAGAACTCCTGTTTCACTGTGTTATGTGACTATTATTTTAACCATTATTTGTCTGGGATAGAGGGACTGTGTTTTAACTCAGACCACTGGTCTGAGGTTTTAACCATCTGCCTTGGTATCATACGCGCAATGTACGCTGGGAAACCAAGTCCGCCCTCAACTGGCTATGTGCACATATTTCATTGTGTCCGCCATTTTGATAACGTTTTGGTCAGTGTATGTTCTTGTGTTAAATTTAAACTCATTTCCTATTTCTTAGCGAACTCAGTGTCCCAATAGACATAATTCAGCAAACTGCAATGACAACGATGGCGGCGTATATACGAGTTGCGGAAGACGAAGGCGATGAACCGATTGAGATGCCCCTTGAGGAAGACGGCAGCATTTTGTTGTCCACCATTTTAGCACAATATCCAGGTTGCTGTGGGCTTCGCTACAGAAATCCCGATACAGGAGGTATCAGAGGTTTGCGAGTTGTCGATGGTGCAATCCATCCAGCTGACGGAATGTGGAGTGATGTGTGTTACTTGGGTGTTTTCCCTAAAGGTGTGTATAATCTATATTTTAAACTGCATATCCAATCATTGCCTTTGATAAAATACTACAGCGTCACACGAGGCAAATCACGTGACCACGCTCTAAACGGCGACGCTTCATTCTTTTGTTTTACATGAAAAATTCATGATTTAACTTTGTCATCTAACAAAATTTACTATTTTTGAGTGTTTAATTTGGGGCAATGTCCACAGCTTGAACTTAAGACTTGAGTCAGCATCCATTTTAAAGATAAAATTTGAACAAAATATCGGAATAGCAGATAGAGAAAATCTGTATTTTTTTTAATAAAAGTACATTGAAGGCTTTTGATTATCGATGAATTAATTAACAATGTGTGAAAGAGAATACATGATTGTTAAAACTTGTTTGGTTAAAATGGTGACCAGGGACTCCTTGGGGTTGTATGGTTGTCACAATTTACATGTGTTTTAATGCATCTGAAGTCTGCATCTAGTTAGAAGTTCTCACTTCATAAATTTTAGGCTAATTTTAATAATATTTTAAGATGATCACAATAATAAATAAAACATTAAACAATCTAACACTGTAATTGTACATCACAGAGATGATTTATTGTCATGTGTGTCAAGCAACTAATGTAGACAAAATAAGGCAACCTTAAAAAAAAATGAACTAGTAGCAGGGTTCTCCCCAGGGCTTTTTAGCGCCGAGTGTTCCCACCTCGGCGCTTGATTTCATATTTGACATGCCAATATCAGATGTGAAAAATCTTTGTTCGCCACGTCGGTCGGCCCCGACCGTCACTCAAAATTAGTGACCACCACGGAAATGCTTCCGACGAGGACTATCGTCTGATTGTTAGTATAATTACGTACCGACCGACACGCATCCTGTCAGTCGTGGATTATAATTTATAAACAGTAGACCTAGTCGCACGATACGTAGCGGCTAGTCAAATTTGTGGAATTAGCACCTCTTTGTTTGTAAGTAAATACTTTCTGCGATAGACACAGTCTTTAGATTGAAAGCTAAAATTATTTCAAAATCAATTCCACCTCGATATAACATGGTCAAATCGGAGTTCACGA